TAATAAAGATTCTGGTGAATGCTGAGAGTTGGGCAGAGGAGTGGGGAAGCCAGGAGAAGTCTTCATGGAGGTGACTTTGGCTCTGAGCCTTTAAATTACCCCCAAGTCCTCAGGGTGTTCTGGAAGCAGCAAGTGGTTTGCTGTGCTCAAGCGTGATGCAAGAGGCAGTAGACCATGGATGAAGTGACACGATCCCAATTATGTCTTAGGAAGTTCATTATGGTGCCAGCCAAAGACGGCTTTTCTGGAGGGTAACAAGTGCTAGGACCGTAGGGCGGTGGGTGGTTGTGCATTCAGCAGAGTGACTCCCTGTCCATGGCAGAGAGCAAACAAAGAAGGATGGCTGGGGTGAGAACGCTGGGAGAGTGGCAGGCACCGTGAGGCTTAGCATTAACTGAATATCAGGCTTGACAGAAGGAAGAAGAGGAAGAGGAGGAGTTAGCAAGAACTGGAAATACTTTGAAGCTTTGGGCCTTGGGCCTTGGCGGCAATGTCATTTCCCCAAACGGGGACAGATTTGAAAGGAACTGAGGAAGAAGCTAAGCTACATTTTGACATCTTAAATTATAGATGCGGGTGGAGTGCGCACACACGACATCTAGCCGAAAGCAGACACTGAAGCTGAATTGAAGGCATTTGGGAGCTTTCCGTGGAGACAGCGAGAACGGACACTACAGGAACGGATGAGACCCGTGGGAGGGGATTTGCCACTGGAGCAGAACAGCCGTCTGATGGCTGTGCACACCTGGTGAGGATTTCCACATCTCCTACCCTGTGAGAGTCACACATTCATCAAGTTCAAAACGGAACGAATCATTTCCCCATCGGCCCAGTTCTCTTTTTGACTTCTCTTGTTACTCAGTCTCTGTGTCACTCTGGCTCCAAATTCGTTACCTTTGTCATCTCCCCCAACTCTTGGTGGGCAATCTGGGGTGTGTGTGTGTGTGTGTGTACGCGTGCATGCAGAAGCAAGCTCCGAGGTATTTGTGAGTTGCACTGAGAGTGCAGTAACAGCCCACTACACTTGGTTTTTTTTTTTTTAATGTGAGGATTGAGGATCTGAACACATACTTGTGCAGCAAGCACTTCAACCACTCAGCCATTTCTCTAGCTCCCATCCTTCTAATTCTTTACACAAGCAGTTTATCAACAGGCAATTCTGGAAATCCATAAAACAACAAAGTGGAGCTGGGCGGTGGTGGTGCATGCCTGTAATCCTAGCACTTGGGAGGCAGGAGGAAGTGGCTCTCAGTGAGTTCGAGGCCAGTCTGGTTTATAAAGCAAATTCCAGGACGGTAAGGACTTACACAGAGAAACCGTGTCTTGAAAAACTAACCAGCCAACCAGCCAACCAACCAACCAACCAAACAAACAAACAAACAAAGACAAAACAACTCCAACAGATCGGAGATACAGGTATTTATACAAAACTATTTTTATTTATTTATTTTTTGAGACAGGGTCTCACCATGTAGCCCTGGCTAGTCTACATAGGAACTCTCTATGTAGACCAGACTTGCCTCAAACTTCCAGAGATCTGCCTGCCTCTGCCTATTGAATATTGAGATTAAAAGCATGTGCTATAATATCCAGCATTTGGAAAGTTACATAGTGTAACAATCTGGTCCTATTCCTATGTAAGCATAGTCCTGACTTCTTTTATGTATGAAGAGTCAAATTCTACCCTTTAAAGGGTCAGTTTTATTGAAATGTAATATATAGAAATGTAGACAATTATAAATCAGTAACTTTTTTTTCTTGAGACTAGGTCTTTTTATGTAGTCCTGGCAATCCTGGAACTCTCTATGTAGATCATGCTGGCCTTGAACTCACAGAAATCTGCTTTCTCTGCTTTTCCAGTGCTGGAATTAAAGTCATGTGTCACCATGCCTGGCTTAAATCAGTAACTTTTCATGTCATCAAATAATCTCCTGCAACATCAATTTTTATTTATATTGCTGGGTTGGAACTCAGGGCATTGTGCATGCTAAGCACATGCTTTACCATTGAGGACAATGCAGTGCCATGACTTCAGTTCTGAGAGGCTGTAAGGAATTCTGTTTCATAGATGCGCCAGGATTCCATTAGCTAACCCCTATAATATACTTCTATTTCTAGCCAGCAGCATTGTCCTTCTTATGCAGCAAATGCTACAGATATGAATAGACATATTTAGCATTTTTAAAAGTCCGTTTTAATTTTTCCTTAGAATAATTTTGTAGCCAAAATTTATGAATATATTTAAAAAATCTTTTAATTTCAGGATAGCCGGGTGGTGGTGGTGCACGCCTTTAATCCCAGCACTCGGGAGGCAGAGGCAGGCGGATCTCTGGGAGTTCGAGGCCAGCCTGGTCTACAAGAGCTAGTTCCGGGACGCGCACCAAAGCTACAGAGAAACCTTGTCTTGAAAAACAAAAAACAAAAAAAAAATTTTCAGGATAATTTTAGGTTTATGGAAAAATTATGGAGAGTCTACAATTTTTATATAAACCACACACACCCAGTTTTCCTTTGTTTATATCTTAGATAGTACCTTTATCATTATATATATATGTGTGTATTTACACATATATATATATATTTTTACACAGGCGTGTTGCTCTGCTGGTTGGAACTTGCTATATAGTTCAGATTGGCTCCAAACTGGCAATTCTTCCTTGACCTTTGAAATGCTGGGATCATAGGCATCTTCCACCACCCCCAGAGTTCTAGTTAGGGGGTTCCATTGTTGTGATGGAACACCATGACCAAAAGCAGCGTAGGAAGGAAAGGATTTATTTGACTTACTCTTTTACAGCACCGCTCACTCCTGAAGGAAGTCAGGACAGGAACTCAACAGGAGTCGAGTCCAGGAGTCAGGAGTGATGCAGAGGCTGTGGAGGGTGCTACTTAGTACCTTGCTCCTAATGGCTCACTCGGCCTGCTTTCTTACAGAACCCAAGACTACCAGCCCAGGGATGATACCACCCACAATGGGCTGGGCCCTCCCCATCAATCACTAGTTAAGAAAGTGCCCTATAGGCCTGTTCTGACAGAGGCATTTTATCTGTTGAGGCTTTACCCTCTCAGATGACTTTGTTAGGAATATTCCTAACGCGAGCTCTCAGCCAGTGCAAAACTCCCAATCAAGCCAAATCACAAGAAACCAAATTAAAGAACATCCAGGCTTAATGGGATTCCTGTGCTCTCGGGTGGCCTCAAGGGGAACCTGGAAGCCACAAACGCGACCACTGCGGGAGTGGTCAAGATTTTGGCGGCTGCCTTGACCCTCCTCAGGGGAGGGGGTGAAGGTTTGGCGGGTTCAGGCACGGGGCCTCCAAAGATGGAGTCCAGAGACTGGGACTTACAGACTTTAGCTGTGTCAAGTTGACATAAAACTATCCAGAACACCCAGGAAATTAATTAACTTTTACTACATTATTAACTAAAGTCTATCGTTTTAGCCAGATTTACTCTTCATCTGATTCTCTTTTTTTCTATTCCAGTATTCCTCCAACATAGCATTTAGTTGCCATGTTTCACTTTAGGCTCCTCTAAGCTTTGACAGTTTCTTAGACAGTTTTCCTTATCTTTGATGTCCGGAACATCAAACATTTAAGGAATACTGGTAAGGCATTCTGTAGGCTAGTTTTCAACCATAGTTGGTCTGATTGAAAGGCCTCTGGCCAGCCAATCCCTGGCAAACATGGCTCTGGCAGGCCTTGCCCTTTTCTCCCATTCCTTCTGCCTTGCTACAAACCCTTAAATTACACTCCTAAAGCTAACCACCGAGGTCTATTCCCTTATTTGGCCGTCTCCTCCTGGGGCCGACTATCAAGGTCTAGCTATCAAAGTATTGAAGTCCAGATATCACAAGTACCCTTTGGCTCACCTAATTAACATGCTCAATTAAACTTAAACTCCTCATCCTAACACGGAGTTTCCCATTTCACCTTTATAAACCAACATTTGCCTATGGGCCACGTCTGTCTCCTTTCTATCCAGAGCAGTCCTTTGTCCCTCTGGGACAAATATCTGCCCCCTTTCCCTTGTTCCCTTCCCCTTTTCCCCTGTCCTCTATCTCCTGTCGTCTTTGTCTCTCTTTTTTTTTTTTTTTGTTTTTGTTTTTTTCAAGACAGGGTTTCTCTGTAGCTGTGGAGCCTGTCCTGGAACTAGCTCTTGTAAACCAGGCTGGCCTCTAACTCACAGAGATCCACCTGCCTCTGCCTCCTGAGTGCTGGGATTAAAGGTGTGCACCACCACCGCCAGGCGTCTTTGTCTCTTATTTTGTCTTTCTGGGACAAAAAAATCTCGTTGGTGCTGAGAACTTGGTCTTTGGGGTCCTGTGCTGATACTTTTTCTTTCACTGGTTTCCTCTCTCCCTCTCTTCCTTTCTTTCTAGAGATTAGACTGGGGTTATGGGTTTTGGAAGGAAAGCACCATAACGTGTCATTCACGTAGACATCAAGCTCATGCGCTACCAACAGAACTGTTGAAGTTAACTGTGAACCTAGCCAGGGTAATGCTTGCCAGGCTCCCCACCATAAAGCTGCTTCCTTTTGGGCTCCTTTCAGTACTGCGTTATTCGCAAGGAAGCTGCTATGCACAGCTAGAGAGGAAACGGGTTCTGCGTCAAGAGAGCATATGTCTTTTACAGGAAATTTATTTTTACTTACTAACTTTCTCGTTCACTTAGGATGAGAGTATTAATATTTCTTTTATGCTTTGAGTTATAATGCAGTATGGTTTGTTTTTTGCTCAAGTCACGCACACTTTTATACGTCTTGAGTAACAATGCGAAGGCAGGTGACCTACTTCTCCTTAACGTCAGCAACCTACCTAAGAGAGAAGTGTGGTCTCCGTCCTCCTCTCCCTCCTACCCCACTTCCTAGTTTCCCGGTGGCCGGCCCACCGCAGAGCGGAAGTGGGCAATCCGCAGGGCGGAAGTGCAGAGAGGGCGTGTGTCCTCTCTTAGAGCTCGCCCCTCCCTTACCGTTGCAGCCCCACCTCTCCGGCTCAGACCGGAAATGAGGTCAGAGAGGGAAACCCGGACTAGAAGCTTCAGCCCCGAAGGAGGCGCCGGGTGCGAGCGGCTGCGGCAGCCGGTGAGGGGAAAGATGTCCGTGAGGCAGGGCCGCGCCTGGCGGGCTCCGGGTTGCAGCGGGGTGGCCCAGGGCACTGCGGGGCTGCGGCGAGTGACCGAGGGTGGCGGGGCCTTGCTACCCTAGACGCGGCTCCTCATCCTGGGCGCTGAGGGTCGGGCGGCCTCCGCGGCGACAGTCCCCTCCGCTCTCGCTGGGTCTTTGGTGGGCGACAGCGAGAGCTCAGGCTTGGTATCCCGAGCAGGGGTCTCCCTGGCCCTTGGGGACGTGCTGGGCATAGTGGAGAGCCCTTCGAAACACGGCTTTTCTCACTTCGGTGGCGGTACCGTGACACCCCCTCCCCTCCACCCCTTCGCTGTGGGAACCCAGTCACTAGGACCAGATTTGAGACAGTTTCTGCCCTAGACAGCCGATCCCCTGTCTCGGATGAGCCTAAATGAGAAGTTGCCTCTTGCCTCCCCCTCCTCCCGTCACTCATGGGAGACTAAGCTAGTCTTGGCTGCTTGTGGCCCACCAGCGTCCCGAGTGACTCAGACCAGGGTGTCAGGATAGGCTCCTGAAAGTAAGCCTGGAGGTGTGGGTGTGCCAGGGCTCGCTTTCTCTGTCCCCCGCGTGAGACGCAAGACTTCTGCGCCAGCATCTGAGGACACGTCGTTTAGTACACTTGTTCCACGTTAAAGTTTGTGCAGTTCTGCCTGAGTTTCAAAGCCGTAGTTCTTTGTTAGAGACTTAGATTTGCTGCTGTTCCCTCGTGTTTCTCTACTTTGGGTTTAGGGACACTTGTTTTCCAAATCCCATTCCTAGCGTTTTAAGCTACTACCGATTGCTGACCGGAAATGGTCTTTTTATGTGCAAGGCTTTTGACACTTGAGGAAGTGTGTTTGAGTGATAGTTTTTCTGGAGCTAGATGGCCCCATTGCTCTTGCAGACGTGACCCATAAACCGGGAAACTTCCCCTGCTTCTGAATTTGTTGACATAGGGACCCCGTGGGAACCGTTTTTAGAAAGTCCTTTGCAAAATGTAAATTGCATGAAGGGATATATGGTCTGAGCTCAGCTTTAAACTCTGATTATGGCCGAGATGTATTCTGGGCTTAACAAGAGCTGGGGAGAAAGAGCTGTTTTAGTATACAAAATGTAGGTGTTGTACAGATGGTATTAGACGTTCCTTTTGAAAATGAAAATTTGAAAATTGCCTCTACCACTCATGCCTTGAAAGTGTTGCTTCTGCTGGCCAGAAGTCTTAGAGACATCACCCTGCATACCTGTTTCAGTTTCATTCCTGTCCTGCTTTAGTGTGGTTGGCTCTAAGGCACATTTGGGGTGACCGACATGAGTAGTCTTAAGTACTATGCTAAAATAATAATCATAATAAAAAATCAGTGCCGTATTCTATGGTGTTCTGTATCTGGTAACTTCCAGGTGGCGGTTGGTACCATGGTAGTACCAGACGTAGGCTTTCTTTTTTCCCTCTTTCTTAGTACCTACTTGGGTAACCACAGATTCTTTATGAACCCTGCAAAGCCTTCCTGATAGCCGCCACTCAGATCTTTGTCTCCTCCTTCCCGCAAACGTCTTTTGCGGGTATCCCAGACCACTGCCTGGCCTTCCATTGTGACCGGATTCTGTCCAGTGCTCCTTTAGTTCTCCTTACCATAGTGTTGAAGTCATGTGATGAGCTGCCCCTCTCTGGTGAGACACTTTCTCGTGTTCAGGCGATCAAGGCACACATTTAATTGGAGGAAAGAAGCAGCTTTGTTTGTTTTTGTTAAGTCCCAATTATCATCTGGTGAGCCATTGAATATGTCGGTTTCAGGTATGTAACGAAACGAGGGCCAGACGCCTTATGTGTGTGGCTTTCGGGCGCATGGATGTTGGAAACAGTGGTGATTGCAGTGGATGAAAGGAGTCTGTTTCCCATAGCCTGGCAGGGAGCCACAGTGCCATTATGTGCTTTATAAAATTACTGGAAACACCAGGCTCTTCAAGCTTTTCTTCTTCTTCTTCTTTCTGGCAGATGTGGCCTCATGGATGAGCTGGTACATGACTTAGCTTCAGCCTTGGAGCAGACATCTGAGCAGAGTAAGCTTGGTGAGCTGTGGGAGGAGATGGCCCTGAGCCCCAGGCAGCAGAGACGGCAGCTTCGGAAGCGCAGAGGCCGGAAACGCAGGTCTGACTTTTCTCACCTGGCAGAGCATGCCTGCTGCTTCAGTGAAGCCTCGGAGTCAAGTCTGGATGAAGCCACAAAGGACTGCCGAGAAGTGGCTCCGCTCACCAATTTTAGTGACTCTGATGACACAGTGGCGAGCAAACGGCACCCAGCTCTCAGTGCCATCATTAGAAGTAAGCCACACTCTTGGCATGAATCTGACTCCTTTACCGAAAACGCACCTTGCCGACCACTCAGGCGCCGGCGGAAGGTGAAGAGAGTGACGTCAGAGGTGGCCGCCAGCCTTCAGCAGAAGCTGAAGGTGTCAGATTGGAGCTACGAGAGAGGCTGCAGGTTCAAGTCTGCCAAGAAGCAGCGTTTGTCCCGCTGGAAGGAGAACACTCCCTGGACCTCATCAGGGCATGGGCTGTGTGAGGCCGCAGAAAACAGGACTTTCCTAAGCAGAACAGGAAGGAAAGAGAGGATGGAGTGTGAAGCAGAGGAAGCGAAGCAGGGCTCTGACGAGAACATGTCAGAATGGTGAGAGCGCCCCTCCTAAAGCAAAGGTCTCCCTGGAGTGCAGTCCCAGGCCTGCAATGAGTCCCACTCTCTTCTAAGCAGGCCTGCTAGTGTTGCCCTTGTAGGCTGGCTGCCTGGAGTCAGCTGCTTTGCAAAGTGCCATTCGCAAATCTGTTTCTCTATGTCAAAAAGGCTGTGTGTAACAGTTTAAGCCTAAAAATAATTTCAAACATGTATTTTAAACCAGGAATTTGTCTTAAAAAATAATTTGCTGTTTTTTATATCGCTCAGTTCATACAAAGCTGCTGCTATTTAGAATCAAAGTATCAGCGAGAGCTGGTGTTGACAGCTATGACAGAGAAAGCACGGGGTGCCAGTTCTAGGCAGTTTGTAAACAGATGCAACCTAGGTTTGCTCTTTAAGAATCAGCCCACACCGTTAATCCCAGCACTTAGGAGGCAAAGGCAGATGGATCTCTGTGAATTCCAGGCCTACAAAGTAAGTTTCAGGACTGTTAAGAGAATCCCTATCTCAAAAGAGATAGAGAGAGAGAATGAGAATCATGACTTTCTATACTTTGGGGCTATAATTCTGTTTTCGGCTAGTTTGACTGTATTGCATGCATTTCTTAGTTTGTGTGTGTATGTTTGTGTACGTGTATGCATGTGCCTGTGGAGGCCTAAAGTGAATGGTTATGTTTTCCTCTTACTTTTCACCTTGTTTGTGGAAATTGTCACTAAGCCAGAGCTCACCAAGTGGCTTGACTGGGTGGTCAGCAAGCCCTGGGAATCCACCTGTCTCAGCTCTCACAGTAAGATTATAGACATGCACTGCCGCTCCTGGCTTTTATGTGGATGTTAGGGATCCACGTTCAAGTCCTCATGCTTACTCAGTGAGCACTTTACCCACTGAGCCATCTCATGGCTTCTTTAGCGCCTACCTACCTGCCTGCCTCTGAGTGGGTGAGTGACTGAGTTTGTGTATGTATCTGTGTGTAATCAAACTCAGGTCATCAGCCTTGGCAACAGGTGCTTTAACCTACTCACTGAGCTATCTTGATCAGTCCTTGAGTGTTTCCTGATGGCAGACATTTAAGTTGTGTGCATATATAGTGTGGTTTGAAAATAACACCGTGAGTCCTTTTAATCTTGTATCACATGATAAAGTACTCTGGTGGTTGCATGTTTAAAATGTCAGTGTAGTTTTGGTAACTCACTTCTCTCCATGTCAGATCACCCTGCAAACATGGATACTTGGCAGCCTGATACCTGAATATTATTACTAGAGTTAAAATGTGACCTCTCCGTGAGGGTGCCTTTGGTGTCTGGGGCAGTTCTTTGTGACACACTGCAGGATGTTTAGCAGCTCTGCCATGTTGCTACCCTTCTTCCTGTGTCCACTCGGATCTGTCAGGGTGGCCGTTAGGTGTGGTGAGCACTGCAGGTTTGTTAAATACTCTGTATGGTAGGCACTGTACTGCGTGTCTGCTGAATAGGTTTATTTATTCCTATGATGGTAGAACCTCATTATTTGTATTTTTAGAAGAGAAAACTAGGTTTAGAGTTTGAGTAATTTACCAGGGTCACCTAGTGCTCAGACAGAGTCAAACTGATTTCCAAGCTCATATTTCACCAGGTTTGGCTTCCTGTTATGTTTTTCAGTGTAGCACAAATAACCTTTCTTATGACCTTGTTCTTCTGAAATTCCCACCCTCAAAGGCATAAAGCTTAGGTCCACCAAGGCAAGGCTGTGTTGGTAACAACACAAGCCGTGGAGGTCTGTGTGCTTTCTCCTTTTCTGAATGTCTTTGAATTTAACTTTGAAACTTTTTCTTACTAACTCTATTTTGCCAGTGTGTTCAGCTGTTTTGAGGTAGGCTTACAATTTGACTCTTGTAATTTTCTTCTGTAGGCTTACAATTTGACTCTTGTAATTTTCTTCTAAGTTTGATTCTGAGTCCTGTATCTAATTTATATGTAGTTTTTGGATTATAAAGGTATTCTTCCCTCATACTCATACTGTTTTTAATCAAACAAGAATTGCTTAGCCAACATGTAGCCTTTTATGATTCTGAAACCTGTTTCTGCATTCAAGGTACTGTAAGATCAGGCATTGACATCTTAGACTCTTAGAACTGGGAATGCAGACTTAAGATGGCCCTTTAGATTGTTGCTTGTGTCTTTTTCTTCCCCGGAATTTCTTGTTAAACTTGAAGATACTGTGTGTGCTAGAGACTGTCAGCTGTCTTCTCTAAGCACAGCTCCCAGCACAGGGCCTGGGACTGTGGTCCAGCAGTGATGCGTCTGTCTTCTAGCTTCCTGTCCCAGGCTGTCAGGCTCTAGGTTCTAATCCGAGAACCAGGAGAAACTGAAGTCAACAGAAGTTCTCATGAAATTCTTCTTTTCACACTGAAGAGACCTGACTCCTCCGTGGGCTTTCCCCCCTGGCCAGGACCTCAGACCCTTGCAGAGATAGGGATGCCAAAGTTGTTATCACTGAAGAAATAGTGGGTGGAGTGGCAGTGTGACATTGATCCTGTGTGAACAGTGGCTGGAGGGGAGATTCTAAAAGGAGACCCTCTTGGAGGCTAGATAAAGGGCTCAACAGTTAAGAGTACTCGTCAAAAAGCCTTGAGATCAGTTCTTAGCACCCACCCTGGGTTACGTACCTGTAATTCCAGCTCTAAGGAGATCCAATACGCTTTTCTGGACACACACACTTACATACACACCTTAAAAGGCTCCCTTGTGCTCTCACTGCCCACTGTTAAGATTATTGAAACAATGGACCCAAAAGTTTAAACTTTTCCCAGGAGTCCCGTGCTGGAGCAGGGAGAGGCTGAAATCCTAGTAGTGACCAGAAGAGGTGCTTGCTTTACAGGAAGATATCTCACAGTCTGGACAACTTACCTCACTGTTAAGTTAGCATGGTGACGCTGTTACAGGAGGATATGGAAACCCTAGGAGATTTCTCTCCCTGATTCCGGCCAAACTAAATAATTCCACCTTCATTTATCCATTTATATTTCCAAATTTCTTTTAAAATACAGGGAAACTAGGTGGTGGGTTTATGGCAATAGTAATGGACACACACTGAGGAAAAAGTCTTTGAAATGTGTAATTGAATTATAAGGCATGGTGGCGCATTCTTTAGTCCCAGTATTTAAGAAGTAGAGACAAGAAGACCAGGAGTTCAAGACCAGTCTCAGCTACTTAATGAGTTTGAGACCAGCCTGGGCTATACGATACTCTGTTTTTAAAAATGAATAAAGAGAATCAAATTTTTAAAGGAATGTTAAATCACTTCTTGACTTGTCTCCATTTATCTGTTGTTACAAATAGAAATGCCCTTGTATTTTTCCCCTAAACACATTCTGTCGAGAGACGGGTGCTTCTTATTTCTGGCATCAGAATATGTCCAAACTTTCCTCATCATTGAAGTAGAATAAAAATTTTCAATTTTCAAGCTGCTCTTCATTATTACTTATTTTAACTCATTATTACTATATTATTTAAGATAGGGTCTTTACCTCAGGATGACTTGCATCTTGCAATCTTGCAGGCTTGTGGCTTCTAATTTGTTTCACTTTAGTGTTGGGGGTTGAACTCAGAGCTTTGTACATGGTGGGCAGGTACTCTGAAACTGAGCCTCACCCAAGACCCGTTTTATAAGCAGGGCTAACATTAGACTGCAAATAGAAAATAGTTATGATTTGTGTATTAACTCCCTGTTGGCAAGTTGATTATGTCAAAATTATCCTACCTTCTGCTTTAAAAGAAGTCCTTTCATGAATCCCTGTGGCTGCTATTTAATGAAGCTGCCTGGCTGTGCCATGTTTCAGTCACATAGAGATCAAAGTGTTGAACTTTACTTCCTGTCAGTCATGTTGAGGGTTCTCACCATCAGCCCTGTAAACTTACTAACCTTGATCCACCTTGTAAAATTACTGAGATAAGAAGTTGATTATTAACCTTAGCCTAGTCTGTGGGTAGTGTTTTAAGAAACAATGTGTTGAGTGCTTTGGATTTGGTAACGTGTATGTTAATTGGCTTTATTTCTAGTTTACTTAAATTTGCTTATTGCTAGCAATTAAAAATTGCTAATAGTTTAAAGCCTTGCTGCTGTTTCTTTCTGCTTTTCTTTCTCTGTTCTGTTCTTCAGTTGTGTTCCAGCTAAGACTTGTGCGGGTTTAGAAATGGGTGTTACATAATAACTTTATTCATGCTTTGTAAAGATCAAGTTATTACTGTAATGTCTTCTGTGTATTTATGGGAGTAAATACTCTGAGATTTTACAAATCTTGTAAAATTAGTTCCTTCAAATATCATTACTTCGTTCAGATTTTCCGAGTATCACTTGTCCCTAAGTGATGAGCTTAGCTGGTGTTCTCTGCTCTCCAGCAGTGCAGTATATATGTAGCTCTTACATACAGTTTAGTTCTCTTATGAGCAGATCGGTCTCATCAAGAGCCTTCCTCAGGTGATGGATTAGAGGCCAGTCTCACAGAAAGAAAATAGTCCCTTTTCTTGGAAGGCAAGTGACAGAGATGGAGTGCTAGGCCTGTCCCCTCCTTCCCCAGCCCAAGCTGACCTTCTGCAGCCCCTTGGTGCCTCTTGTTTTCTTATTTTTATAGAAAATCAATATCCTTTCTGACACAAACAATAGCTCAGAAGCGAGAATAGATGGGAGGAAGCTGAGATCTCTGTCCATCACCTCTCCCTTGAACTGCCCCAAACTCTTTAATTATGAGTGTGCTTTGCTCCAGGTGTTTGTGACAGTGAAATTGCTAAATGAGGACCATTTTAACCAAAGATTGGGTGATCAATAACATTCTATAGCAGTAGCTTGTTGGATCAATAGCATTCATTATTTCATGGTTAAGGTAAGTAGTCTCCTTTGCAACTGGGGGTCATTAATCAGGGGTTACTGGGGCAGTGGAAAGAAAATATGTAGTGTTGGAAGTTCTCTTTTTCTTTTCTGTAAACAGAGATGCCGACCAAGTAAATACTTACCTTTGCAGC